GGTAGCAGACATTTACTCTTAACACCTGATGGTCTTTCAGATTATAGTTGCTGCATGATGGCATTGTAGAAGTATTGTTATCATTTGATTTAAGTTATTCACAATCAAATGTCTAATAATAGAGGGTTACTGTGTTATTCGGCTGGTCATGTGATCTCAATATGGCTACCAGTCGGCCACCACAAGGGTAATAACATTTACATTACTCATGAAAGGTGTGAACCCCTTTGGATTAAAAGTTATTTAAACATATTTTGCTAAACATGTAAGAATACTTCAATGTTGTCATAGGTGAAAACCTATGGTGTGCTTTTTAAAATGCCCTTATTTTGTTTGTACAGTTTCTAATAAAGACATTGTTTATTATTGCAGCTTTTGACTGTAAACAGAGAAAGCAAAGATCAAGGTCTGGGTCAAAGAAGAAAATGTACCAGCTGCTGCACACACCAGAAGAAATCTATAGACTTACTTGCAGGTAACCTCTATGCTATAAATGTTAATAAAAGTATATTTTATATATTAATAAAAAAAAACTTTTATTTACATACATACATTTCTACTATGATTTACAACCACTAAAATGTCATTCAGTGTAACAATATTTCATACAGGCCCAGTTCTACAGGGGTTCTAGAGGGTGCTAAGCACCCTCATTTCAAGATCTGCCAAACTATCCAGTGCGTATTTGTGTTTGCACAATGGAGAGCATCAAAAATTAATTGTGCAGTTTAGAGAGCTTCATTTGTTATAACAGAACTTTGTGAGATCATGATGAACTAAGACAAGTGACAGCTTCTTAGTGATTATAAAAAGAAGTGCCCTTTGGGTGCTTTAAAGGGTTAGTTCACCCAAAAATAAAAATTAGGCTGCGTTTTACTCACCCCCGAGGCATCCTAGGTGTATATGACTTTCTTCTTTCAGACGAATCCAGTTGGAGTTATATAAAAAATTGTCTTTGATCTTTCAAGCTGTTTAATGCCACTCAGCGGGTGTTGCATGCATCAGTCCAAAAGAACTTAAATAAAAATCACCCATCCATAAAAAAAGTGTCTCTCATGGCACCGGGGGGTGAACAAAGGCCTCCTGTAGCGAATCTATGCGTTTTTGTAAGAAAAATATCCTGGTGGCTCTTGATGCCTTGATCCCAGCCTCAGTCCATTCCTTGTGACGTTCACTCAAATTCTTGAATCGATTTTGCTTGACAATCCTCATAAGGCTGCGGTTCTCTCGGTTGGTTGAGCATCTTTTTCTTCCACACTTTTTCCTTCCACTCAACTTTGTTACGTTAACATGCTTGGATACAGCACTCTGTGAACAGCCAGCTTCTTTGGCAATGAATGTTTGTGGCTTACCCTCCTTGTGAAGGGTGCCAATGATTGTCTTCTGGACAACTGTCAGATCAGAAGTCTTCCCCAAACTGAGAGACCATTTTGAAGGCTCAGGAAACCGTTGCAGGTGTTTTGAGTTGATTAGCTGATTGGCATGTCACCATATTCTAATTTGTTGAGATAGTGAATTGGTGGGTTTTTGTTAAATGTGAGCCAAAATCATCACAATTAAAAGAACCAAAGACTTAAACTACTTCAGTCTGTGTGCACTGAATTTATTTAATACACGAGTTTCACAATTTGAGTTGAATTACTGAAATAAATGAACTTTTCCACGACATTCTAATTTATTGAAATGCACCTGTAAGTATTTATATGACTATTTAACACAAAATGCACATAATAGAATTAAAGATGATCAAATGTCTGTAGATAAAGATGAAAGTGTTGTAGATATTGAATAATGTTTTAAATGGCATGTTTATCACTGCTATGAACTCAGAATTAATATCTGTAGTCTAATAATAAAACAAGATTGTAATAAATTAGGTGAAAAACTATGTTTATAGTGTTGTAAAGCACACTTGTAATTTAAGTTTATCAAATATTACGTTTTAATATTCATTCTAAATTAAGATCCAGTAACAATCATTAAAACTAAATTTAATTTAAATTAAATTTAAATTGAAATACATTTACTTTTAATCAGAACACTTAATACATTACAAAATACATAAGTGTTTTAATTAAAATAGACTTTATTAGACTGTTGAAATACATTTTAAATATATTAAATTGCAAATATAAATTACAAATGTTAAAAAAATAATTACAAATGTATTTAATTATATAATACTGCAAATGTAATCAGCATTAAATTATATTTTAGTTCGCATTAATTGCTTGTCTGTACATTCAGCAGTACACTTTAACCATATTTCAAAGACAATAGAAGCAATTGTGAATGTACAAATAAAGATAAAAGTCCTTTAATTAAAATTAATAATTAAAGTAAAAAAAAATAAAAAAAACCTCTTCAATTCAACTAATTGCATTTATAAAAATTTTAAGTAGTGGTAGTACAGATTACAGATTTTAATGGCATGTCAGCAGATTTGACAGATTTTAATGCCAGAATACATATTTTAATGCCATGTCAGCATCTTCATGGAAAAAAAAAAAGTTACAAAACACGAGAATTACAGAAATACTGTTTGTGACGTCACAAACCCAGATAAACTCCGCCCCTGGGAACATGCAACAAAGGGGACGGGGCCATGTTGCACTGCTTTAGAGAAGAGGAGCACTTTAACCATATTTCAAAGACAATAGAAGCAATTGTGAATGTACAAATAAAGATAAAAGTCCTTTAATTAAAATTAATAATTAAAGTAAAAAAAAATAAAAAAACCTCTTCAATTCAACTAATTGCATTTATAAAAATTTTAAGTAGTGGTAGTACAGATTACAGATTTTAATGGCATGTCAGCAGATTTGACAGATTTTAATGCCAGAATACATATTTTAATGCCATGTCAGCATCTTCATGGAAAAAAAAAAAGTTACAAAACACGAGAATTACAGAAATACTGTTTGTGACGTCACAAACCCAGATAAACTCCGCCCCTGGGAACATGCAACAAAGGGGACGGGGCCATGTTGCACTGCTTTAGAGAAGAGGAAGAGAAAACTAGGGGTGCACGTAAAAATCTATTCATATATGAATCACGATTCTGTCTTCTAACGATTCTAATACATTCACAAGTTTCAAAATCAATGTTCTAAAGCAGCGGTTCTTAATCCTGTTCCTCGTGTTCACCCGCTCTGCACACGCTCTGCATCTCTCTCTCTCTTTCTCTCATTCAGATCGAACAATGAACTGTTCCAATTATACACTTATTTTCACATAGTTATGAGGAGGGTGCGGTTGCCATACTGTATTAAAGCTTTAATCAGGATAAAACCATAAATTAAAAGCTAACATAAGCAGTAGCATTTACAAATAACAGCATATCTAAAAGTATGAGACAACAAAAAAACATACCATTAAGAGCCGTGCTTGCACAGGTTCTGCACAATCCTCTTCACTAATACCCTCTGCGCCTCAATCGGGCTCAAATTGATAAGCGATATTAATGAGGCCGCTGTTTACAATACAACCGGAGCACATGCCACTGAGGTGAGGGGCGTGACATTTAGACGAGCACTGGTGGTTTAGCCAATCACAACACACTGGGCCAGATAACCAATCTAAGCCAATCGTGTATTTCTGAGGGAGTGGCTTTTTAAAACCAGGAAATCATCAGAGCGTTTATTGGGGAAGGGAGAGAGCGGTGTAGAATAAAGGTAAATTATGTGAAAAATAATGTGTTGGTTTTTTTTTAACGAAGCATTAACACATGTTAGACTGGACCCCATAAACACAATCAAGCCTAGAAAAAAAACAGTCAACCACCCCTTTAAGTATAAGTATATTCTCTTAAAATATAAAGTATATTCGGACGAATCTGATGAATCTGACACAGGCAACAACTCTGGAGTGGCTGGATCTGCATTGACCTGTGTTGACCTGATCAGAAACCCTGGCTCAGACTCAACAAGAACGGCGTCTGAACTTAATCTCAGATAGAACTTGGACAGGCACTGGATCAGAATCGTGTAGATTGCATGAACTGCTTTGCTCTTTTAACATTTTCTAAAATGAAGAAAAATGAATGAACTATTAGAAACATCTCTGTGAGAGATTATTAGAGATGCTAAGTAATACAATTAAAAATTTGCATTTTTAAGTTGTTACTTGCAGTGAATCAGAATTAAAACTGCAAGTAATAATAGAGAATAGAACATAGAAAATAAAAGATGGCAGAAATAACAAACCCAAGTAATGATGACTCACTGTCACCCAGATCAGAACTGGTCTGGATCTATCACAGGCGGCGACTCATGATTCGCCAGATCTGCGTTTGTCGTTTGCTCAACGACTCAACATCTTCACAGACCTGGCCTGGCAGACGCACCAGCTCAGGGTCAGCAGCATCTGTGTCAGCCATTGGTGTGATTCTGAAGGGACTTGGAGCAGGCATTAGCTCTGAATCATCTTGCTATGGCTGCGGCGTAAGATGCACCACTCTGTTCAGGTCACAGCTTTAGAGCCTTCCACACTCTCCAAAAGAGAGCACAGACTTCTTTCCCCTTCCTCCCTTTTGCAGGTTTTTCTAAAATATATAAAAAATAATAGGCTCAGTCTGACTTGTCTCGGTCTTTCTCTCTCTGTATATTAACATCTGCTTTTATGATACCGATAGCTACTCGTGTATTGGAGTGCAAGGGGGAGATGGAGATTGTGAAAGAGGGCTTCATTGAGTTTGTCTTCTGGTCCACAAGGCACAGATGGAGAGGAATGTCTTTTGTTCCAGAAAGCCTTCGTATATGGATTTTGTTATTCCCTTTTCATTTTTATATTATGTAATGTGTGATTCTTATTGGATGAATCTCTGTACCACCTCTTATAATGTGCCTGTATAAGATACAGTTTAACAATAAACTTTTCAGATAATGTCTTGTCTTCATGTACATGAATCTTCCCATGTGCAAGAGGGGCCTGAGAAACAATTTAATACCTACTCTGTGTCTTACACTACCTTTTCTTGTCTGGTTGATGCACGGGATCCGCTAGTTATTAAACCACCTGTGCTCTTCTAGATGCTGCAGCATCAGTCTGTTAGCTGGATTGCGGATCAAACACTGGAAAATCAGGTCACGGCATGCTGTAAAGTTTTTAGAGAGAGAGTGTGTGTTAGTCTTACTCAACATCAATGCTGACATAGGAAAAAGCTTCTGAAATGTTTTAACATATAAGATTTCATGATTTGATAATATAAATATATGAAATTAAATAATTAGGTCAACAGTCCCATCAGTGAACATCTGTTACATGCTAGACTTCCTGTCATATCTTGTCTGACATATATTTTCCATCTGACACTGAGACTCAGAGATTGCAAAGAGGTGTCTGTTGTGTTTACCTGAGGATAAAGTCGGTTTTGCTTGAACGTAGCCACGCAGTATTTTATCTTGGCTTTCAAAGGGCAAATATCCATGCAAGATTTCAAAGAGCACAGCACCTACTGCCCAGACATATGCTGGGTTAGCGTGGAATGTGGTATTCCTTATGACCTCAGGTGGGGTGCAGAGTGGTGCTCCTGTGAAAGAAACATTTTTAGCGTTGAGTAATGCTGTTATCAAAAAGACAATACCATGATCAATGACACTGCACTCTGCTATGGTAACATGAAACATACCTCGATATTCACTGCTGAGATTGCCCTCACTGCTGATTGGATGAGCACAACCAAAGTCAATTAGTTTGAGCTCTAAACTGGGGTCAGTCAACAGGATGTTCCCTGTGTGGATATCACCATGGAAGACTTCACGGTCAATACAGTGTTTCACAGCTTGGATTAACTGACAGATTAACCAGCGTGCTTTTCCTTCATTCATGTTGTCTGAATACATGATGTGTTGATTCAAGGTATGGCATGGTTCTGGGTACTCCATTATGAGCACAAAGCTCCTCTTATTCTCAATCCAATCATGCAATTTGATGACTTTGGGGCATAATGGAAGTTGTCCCAACCGAAGCAACATTGCCACTTCTGCAAGCAAAGGTTTGGAATGACCAGCCTAGAGAAAAACAAACAGTTGGCTTTGAGTAACGCATTACTTAAAAGATAGGTAGAATGATGAATATCATTGTATTTAAATTTGCACTTAAATCTTTGTCTATTTCATTTCTGCTTTATGTTAGCTACAGGTATTTACAACAATAGTCACTCAATCAACCAAATATTCCTTAGATTTTTCAACTTACAACGTCAAGATAACGGTCAGCTTGGCGCTTGTGGATGTACTTCATGGCAACCTGTGAATGGCAAAAACACAGTTAAGTTTTCCAAACATACCAAAGTGCCAGACATGCACATCTACAATGTATTTAAATCTAGACAGTGGACACACATCTCTACATCTGGAGCAAAATGTTGGTACAAGTCAATAAAAGTGCTTTCTTTACCTTCATTCTGTCACTAAATATGTGGGATCCCTCATACACCACGCCAAAACTTCCACATCCTACAATCTCTCCCACTACAAAGAGAGACACTCTAGATCCTGAAAAACAGACAAGAAAAAGAAAATGGCCATACATCAGTTTCCTTTCATTGTCTGATATGATCAAAAGAGATCCATTTAAAGAGTATTAAAAAACGAATAAATCAGGTAAATCAGGTAAATCAGGTCAGTTACTAACTGAGAAGTTAGAGTATCAGATTTACAGTCTAAATAATGATAAGCAGAAAGAAATGCAGAAAATGGGCAGAAATGTCATGAAACAAAGGTAATAATGACTCACCACAATCCAGATTGTCCAAATCCGATGAATCTGACACAAGTGACAATGCTGGAGTGGCTGGACCTGGGTTGGCCGCTTGCACAGATGGGGACTGGAGAGCTGCACAGACCTGGTCAGACCTGCTAACTTCCACCTGTGGTGTAGAATGCTGGACTCTCTTTGAGTCACGCCAGGGGAAGAGGTGCTTTACAGCCTTACGGAACCTCTTGAAGAACGCAAGGACTCCTTTCCTCTTCCTCTGTTTTTTTGTTTTTTCTAAAATGAAGAAAAATTAAACTATTAAAAGTGAAAATAGTAGTACATGCAGTGAATCAGAATTACAACTGCAAGTAATAATAGAGAATAGAACATAGAAAATAAAAGATGGTAGAAATAACATAAACCAAAGTAATGGTGACTAACCATCACCCAGATCAGAACTGGACGGATCTGCCACAGGTGACGACTCAGGATCGGCCAGATCTGTGTCCAGTGTTTGCTCAGTCCAGGAGGGACCTGGCACACACAACGACTCAACATCTTCACAGACCTGGCCTGGCAGACGCACCAGCTCAGGGTCAGCAGCATCTGTGTCAGCCGTTGGTGTGATTCTGAAGGGACTTGGGGCAGGCATTAGCTCTGAATCATCTTGCTCCGGCTGCGGTGTAAGACACACCACACTGTTTGGATCACAGCAATGAAAAGGGCGCTTTACAGCCTTCCATACTTTCCGAAAGACAGCACAGACTTCTTTCATCTTCCTCTCTTTTGCAGGTTTTTCTAAAATAAAGAAAAATGAATAGTTACCTAAGAATCTCTGACTACAGATGAAATACAAATCAATTCCTAAAAAACAAATGTTGCTTTTATTTGATGCATTTATTAAAAGAAATGTAAGTTCATAGTACTGAAACGCTGAGAGTTCTTTTCTAAATGAGGCCAAGAACACCACAAAGATACCTTTTTCTCTGCAACATATGCACCTGCAAAAACCAGCTCACCTGTTGGGCTGTTCTCCACACTGTCTGTAGGACAAGCCTTCATGCCACCTTGATTATCTGAGCTCACGCTCCCTGAACCTCCTGTTGTTGTCTCGACAGGTTTTTTGTCAGTTGTCACCTCTTCGATGCTGACAGAGTCAGACATTATGTCTGAGGTAAGACTGATCATCTCCAGCCTATCCACACTTTCTCTCTCAACTTCACTGCACTTCACTGTCTTGGACATTCTGTTTGATTATGTTATAAACCTAGAACACACTCCCCCGGTTTCACAGACCAGGCTTAAGCCTAGTCCCAGACTAAAGTGTAAGTCTGAGCTGTTTTAACTGAAAGAAACTTGCACTGACTGATCTTAAAATATATCAGTGCCTCTGTTTTGTCTCAAAATGCCACTCTGTGTAAGTCTAAATAGACTTAGTGTCTGTACACTGTCTATCTACTAAAGCAGTTCAGTTATTAGAATCACTTTCTGTCAATACTTTACACTGGCTCTCACTCTCAAATTCGCTTTAACTGTAGTTCCAAGCTTCAGCTTGTGCATTTTGTGTTCTGTGACGTCACACAACCATGTCACGTGACCACAACCCTTCACGTTCTTTTTTTTTTAAAAAAAATTTTTTTAACCCTTGACGTTCTAAATAGGCGCGCCACACAAATCTTTCCTGTTGCTGTGTTAAATATAATTGAAATACTATAACTTAAACATGCTGCACGCACTGTACGTCCTCACGTAAACGCCAGTCAGGCGCAAATTTTATTTCCTCGGAGAGCACACGCGGACATGACAATCCTCTTAATGTAATGTAACTTTACATTTCGAAGTAAGGCTGCGTTTGTATGAAATACGACTTTACCGAAGCGCTGTCTCAGAGACACGTGTGATTTTGTGAGCTTTTTTGAAAGAACCAGGTCAGAAAAATCACTTTAGAGCAGTGTTGCCAACTAATTTTCGGGGGAAGTTGCTAAAGGAAGGTCAAATTGTTGCTAAAAGTTGCTAAATGACATTGTTATTACATAATTATGACGCAAAATTACATAAAATCTCTAGTTAATTTAGATTCGTTCATAAAATAATATAACGCAATATAATATTAAAATATAAATAACTGTATTTTTTAAATACAACATTGAATTATTGAACACTTACACATTTTTGAACAATTACAATTTCTAATGCAGTAGTAAAAATGCTATTAATTTGGCTAATTGTAGCATTTGATGCCATCTCATCTGAAAGAGTTCAGGTTTTATTGGACACTTGGTCTATAGTTTATAATTTTACTTTTGAATTGAAAGAAATGAGGAAGCCAACTCTGCTGCAAAATAAGTGTTATTGGCTGATCTAAAATTTTGTGCTCTACCTCCTATGGATTTAAAACCAATAGTTTGTTCCTGTGTTAATAACAAATGGCAAACAGAGTGGGATATATATACAATGAATAAACGTGAATGAAATAATGCAGTAGTAAAAATGCTATTAATTTGGCTAATTGTAGCATTTGATGCCATCTCATCTGAAAGAGTTCAGTTTTTATTGGACACTTGGTCTATAGTTTATAATTTAACTTTTGAATTGAAAGAAATGAGGAAGCCAACTCTGCTGCAAAATAAGTGTTATTGGCTGATCTAAAATTTTGTGCTCTACCTCCTATGGATTTAAAACCAATAATTTGTTCCTGTGTTAATAACAAATGGCAAACAGAGTGGGATATATATACAATGAATAAACGTGAATGAAATTAATCCCAATGTTGGAAAAATAATTTTCTATAAATTTTCTAACCGATGGGATCAGATTGTTTATATTCGCTGTAGAACTGGTCATTTCAGGATGACACACAAGTGTTTAATACTAGAGGAAGATGCAGTTTTGGAGTTTTTAGCAAAAATAAATGATAAAAACATGATATAATTCAGCCATAATATTTCTCGCCATGAAAATAGGCATAGAAGCTGGAATGGCGTTAAACACAAACAAACAAACGATAGTTTTACTTTCCATTAATAAATTACAGATCATATAATTGTAATTCATATCGTTATATAAATTAAGTATTAACAATCATAAATGTATTTTTTTCTTGTCTGAACATTTATTAGATGTGTCTGCTGTTTTTGCTCAGATGCATCAGTCCCTTCAAGTGCCTCAACATCAACTCCTTGTTTTGATGACTGCGTCCAAATCCTTCACTGGTCGACTCGAGAAGGATGTTGAAGATGTGATGACCTGACTGATAAGAAAATGGCCAAATTTGTAAGTCAAGCTCATCCTCCAACATGTTCTCTCTGCCAAATCCCTTTATCCATTAAGCATGTTTTATTAGATTGTGCTTGTTTTATCTCATTGACAATTTTTTTATTTAGTTAAATCTTTTTTTTTTTTTACAGACTTTTAGCAGAGTTAATCCAAATGCAGTTTTGGAGTTTTTAGCAAAAATAAATGATAAAAACATGATATAATTCAGCCATAATATTTCTCGCCATGAAAATAGGCATAGAAGCTGGAATGGCGTTAAACACAAACAAACAAACGATAGTTTTACTTTCCATTAATAAATTACAGATCATATAATTGTAATTCATATCGTTATATAAATTAAGTATTAACAATCATAAATGTATTTTTTTCTTGTCTGAACATTTATTAGATGTGTCTGCTGATAGCAACAAAATTGCTAAGTTGGCAACACTGCTTTAGAGAAAGAGAGATCAAGGTAACGATATATTTGTTTAATTTCATAGTGTATAACGTTAGTATTTCGAATTAATATTGCAGTTTTATGAATGAACTCACTGAGGAACTAATCGTTGAGCAATTGATAATTTTCAAAACAGTAATTTGCCTATTAGAAATCGGCGACGACTTTTAAAGGCTTTGTAGTGTATGAGCGACATAAGGGGTTTATTAGGTCTATACTGGGTTGATAATGAAAATTAAATATCAAATTCATTTTTTTATTAGATTTGTGATACAGTTCATACTTCCCCGAATGAAGAATATATATATATATATATATATATATATATATATATAAAGAATAATATTTGTCTTGTCAGTTGTCTAGTTTCTGGATTGTGCTTATTCACAAAAATATTCATTATAGCATTATTTGCTAATGCAGTAGTAAAAATGCTATTAATTTGGCTAATTGTAGCATTTGATGCCATCTCATCTGAAAGAGTTCAGTTTTTATTGGACACTTGGTCTATAGTTTATAATTTAACTTTTGAATTGAAAGAAATGAGGAAGCCAACTCTGCTGCAAAATAAGTGTTATTGGCTGA